GTCACAATTTAGACGTTGCCTTCTATCTAGGAGAAATACAATCCAACTTTGACCTTAGGTAAGTCTCGTTTGATTTCAAATTTTATTACTTATGTATTTTGTACTGGCGTGGCCTTGGTTTATACTTTGCCCTTGTGTGAGATTTAATCGTATATTTGCTGTAAGAGAACTAGAATTTTTAGGCTTAGTTAAACCCATTTATACGATGTTCATACAACATATATCAGACGTTCATACAACGTTTACCTGACGTTTATCCGACGTTCATTTAACATACCATTTATGATGCATTATTTGTGAAATCATAAAACAGTCTTTCCAATGATACGAACTAAAGTTAGGTTAGCACTATTTTCCACCCAGCAAACCGCCCTTTACTTTACACAATCGGAAATAAATTTAAGATGGCGGCTAATGGGAAAGAACCAAAAGCTAAGAGGAAACCATGCATGCACTGGTGCTAGGTCGTTTTGAGATGGCGAGTAATTTTATATTTTTATAATACAGTTTTTAATATCAACATATGAAAATATTTACAGATAAATGTTACAGTTTAAATTTTCATGCAACCACCTTAAGTTATAAACTTATAATCCAGGCTGGAAAATATGTCGTTTTTCGACGATTGTGTAAAATATTATATAAAATATTATATTGTGTAAAATATTAGATTGTGTAAAATATTATATTGTGTAAAATATTATATTTCAAAGTAAAGGGCGGTTTGCTGGGTGGAAAATAGTGCTAACCCTAAAGTTATTGAACTTCCATATACTTTCAAGCGATATTGATAACGAAAATTTTTATGGCATATTTTTGAACCTTTGTGATGTCTAACAACTAAAATAGCAAAATGTTTTTTCAAAAATATTTTGTTGCTGAGATATTTGCAGCAAAAGTTTTGTAATTTTCGCCATCATAGATGAAATTTTGATAAAATTATCTCGAGCGGTTGTGACGTCGTTGGCTGGTGAGCATTCAAAACAACAATACAATATACTTTGTGATTGACGGCGTTACAACACATTTAAAGCATATTTTACGGGGTTTTTTTTTGCTGTAATGGATGACAAACAGGAAAATAAACCGGGTGAGGTTCTGCCCAATCAATATGAGCCTGAAGTGAAGGCCAAAACAAGCGAAGAAAGCAATTCCGAATAGGAGAGTGAGCAGAGCGACTTGTTCTTGTAGGAGGATGAAATAGATGCAGAATTTGAGAGGGCAAATGCAAATGAAACATGTATGAACAAAACTTGTAAATAAAGAACAAAATGTAATGGAGGTATATTTGTAAATCATCAACTAAAAACTAACTCTTCTAAAAACTACAATTTTCCTTTACAAGTGTTTCAAATGCCACACTTTACATGACCCATATGCATTGAAAACAAAAGATGATGAGGATTTTTGTTTAATTTTCTTTTGTTTACAATGCATTCAGGTCATGTAAAGGGTGACATTGAAACAGGCTTTCAGGAACAAAGATTCAGGAACATTTGTAGTTTACACAAGAGTTAGTTGTTAGTTAATGACTTCAAAATATACCGCCAATCTTTTGTGCATTATTTACAAGTTTTGTTCGTTTTCATATGCTAGTTGTAAATTTTAAGTGTATACGAATTAAATTTGATCATTTTATGTCTGTTATGAACATACTGTATATTTTATTATTTTCAAACTAATAGGCCACCCTGGTACCCACCAAAATGGGCTAATTTTACCCTCTACTTAATTAAAAAAAAATTGGGGAATCTTCCATAACATATTATAGAATATCCTATAGCATATTTAATGAAATTTCTACGGAATACTAAAAATGTGCTACACAATTTTTTAAACATGATTAATGTAATGTCCTACAACAGATTCAATAGAATATTGATACTGACATATTATACTAGAATGAGTAATTTAGTGTAATCATGCACTTTTTAGCCTTTCATTTTTTGGTAATCTCAATACAATACATCATGTAAAACATTATTATCAAACTAAAATTCCATTTAATACAGGTCTAAAGATGATAATCAAAAATTCAAAAATTATTGAAAATTTTGAATGCTGTAATTATTTAACAGCCATAATGTAAATTAATTCAATTAAGTTAAAAATACATACGGATAGTTCAAACTGCTCTTTATTGTGTCAGTATGTAATTCAACTTCTCCACATTAGTTCATTGTTGGGATGTTTTCTTCTTTCCTTTACCAAATTGTTTATCATAACATTTCTCACATTGCAACCAAATCAATTAGAACCTGTACCTAAATCAAGAAATGCAATGATAAAATTAAAAATAACTAATTTGTGCTAGTATTCCATATCAACATTTGATAAACAATGTTGCTTGGAAGGTGAAAAGTTGCAATGAATGCCTAACTCTAGTAGTCAATATCAATAGAGCCCTGTTTCTATTCCCAGATTACACAAAGGGAATTAACATTTAGTATTTCATTCTAAAATTTAATTATAAAATGATATTACTAACTATATAAACTTTCAAGCTGCCATTTATAAAGGTAGGGAAATTGCCTAATTAAGACAATAGACAATCATACCTGTGTATACAGCCTTTTACAAATTATTTAACGTGCTACATACTTGTTCCACCAACAAAGCAGTTTAGGTTGCAGGATATTCTATAATTGTGCCTGGCCCAGTGCAATATTGTTAAATATAAATTAAAATTACTGCTGCTTTTACTTCTGTTCGTATTTGAAATGAATACTTATATCGGCATAACCGTTATTACGTTTTGATAGGGAAACATTTAAATTAAAAAGCTCAACGGATACTTACAACTAAATTTGAGTCTGATATTTCTCTAGCCAGAACAGTTACTGTTAAAATTGTCAGCAGCTAAATAGAACTCTTCACCATTTCGTTCAATACTTTAGCAAAATCAGTCGGCCAAGCTAACATTACTCGTTTGTTAATTAATACCCTCGCTTTTGTTGTCGAAATCTCTCTGATTTTCGCAAGTCATTCGCTGAATTTCTCTATTCTCACAAGCCGTCCCGCTAATAACAACAAAGTATATTTCCATCACTTCCTTGTCAATACTCCAACTTTAGCTTGAGAAATCTTCAGGATTTTTACGAGTTATCCACCGAATTTCTTCAATCTCACAAGTCATCTCGTTTACTATCAACAATATATTCCCATCCCTTCGTTGTCAATGTTGTAGAAAATCTTCAAGATTTATACGAGTTATCGACGGACTTTCTCTGCCATATCAAACCATCTCGCTTATAATATCAAAAAGGCATATTCCTATCAAGATATTGAAAAGTTTTTAAAAACATCAACATAAAAATAGCTAAAGCGTTCTTCCACACCAAGTTTGTTTGAACGGCTCCTCGCCAGACGCCACACACGCGATATAAACTTGTTGCCATAACAACAAGAAGCTCTGTTTCAGTAGTATAGAGACTGCTGCCAGTTCTAGCACACTTCTCAGTTTGAGAAGGAGTATACACAAATCTAAGCGCCCCAGCCCTTGTTCGCGTACGTGGTTCACATAGTAAGCACATAGTAAGCACATAGTAAGCACATATATCGGCACAAAAATCACAAGACAGCGAAGGCCAAACCCTGGACAACGGCAGGAGCCAAAGACGGCCGGCCCACCCCCCGCGCCCGGCCGTTGGGGTGTATTATTTAGAAGTAGCGTATAGTAGGGTACGTGGTAAGATGAATAGTGAATCAAAAAGAAAACGTATGAAAAGACAAGAGCAAAAAGAAAGAAGAGAAAGAGAGAAAAAATTGAATAGTATAATAATAAGACAAAGAGAAGAACATCTTAAATTACAAATCAGGCTGCTAATACAGACAGGTACGATACAATTAGAAGAATAATATTTATATAGTATATAGAATCGAGATGAACACTGTTAGAGAGATTCTGCTACTATATAAACAGGGTGTTATAAGTGGAAGAGCTTTGAACTCATTTCTCGAAGCTTTCCAACCACTAGCATCTACATCAAGAAAGCGTACTAATACAGCTCCTCCTGAACCTCCTTCGGTACCCGTAAGCGCAGACCTATTAAGCCTAATGACGTAATAAAAAGTAGACCGCCTGTTATAACAAAGTCTGCAGGTTGGGAAGCTACGTATGGAAATATGAGCGACCCAGCGTTAATACGCTATAACGCACTTCAGTTTCTAAGTGCAATTCCTCCAAAAACTAAAACTGCGACGCCTCCGATGGCCGGTTCACACCCTTTGCCAAACGTGAAGTGTTCTTATTCAGTTCTAGATAATGAAGGAAAGCCTTCGGACTCGTCTAGCGCTTCGTGTAGCGAATCTTCATCAAACATTTGATGAAGATTCGGGTATTATGCTTTCTACAGTGAGTGTGATAATTACTCTAGCAGTTCCCATCTGTTGAACAACTAATGTTGCATCAGTAGGTAAGTCTACATCTATAAAATCGCTATAGCTACATTCAGAGTTAATATCACCAATACGATGTGTTTTTGTTTTACTTAAGACAAGTAATTTGCTAGGAGTTTGAAGTACTCGTAGCGCTCCTGCACTTGTAAAACATTTTCCACTTAATGATATTCGGTAGAATCCAGCGGTTTCGATGGTGATTGTAGAAGAATCTTCTTCATCTTTTTCAAACATCGCGACATTTGTCCAATCTGAACCTCTTTTTCCAGTGACTGAAGTACCAACTTGAGTGTACACATCTACTGGAATTTCTAGTCGCTTTTTATGTTTTTAACGTCTTCTATGATGTTTTACATTACGGGCGTGGTGTCTTTTTGCCGGACGTATCAAAGCTTCGAGAGCCTCACGCGTAGGTTTATCTACGTCTGAATAGTTCCAAGAAGAAATGACTATTTTTTCAGCACTAGAATTATATTCTAGTTGGAATTTTTCAAAATTTTTCTCTCTATTTTGTCGTAAGTATACTTCTACTGCTAGGCGAAAGAGATCGTTTGTTGATTCAAATTCATGAACCGAAGACTCAGATGCGTTAGACATTGTAATTCTACATATATTATAAAAATTTATTGTTTTAGAATTAAGAATACTCTAAATAGTGTTCCTGATATCTTCGCGTCCAGTTAATGGGTATTGTACTAACATATGACATCAATTTGTTAGTGGTATCATGTACGAAACTAACACAAGGCCCCCAACTTTGTTCAAACACAGTAGATCTAATGTTGAACCACTCGTGTGGAGACCGTTCAAACCAAATGTTTAATAATGCTATTTTATTATTTTCGAGTGTTTTTCCAGTAGGAAACGTTACTAAAATTACATTTACTCCGCTCATACCTGGGGGATAAAAGCCATTAGGAGAGTTCAAAACAGGTTGATCTCCTTGGTCTCCTTTAAGCCCATCAGCTCCTGGTTGTCCTTGAGGTCCTTGACGTCCTGAAGGCCCCTGAGGCCCTGTGGCTCCAGTATCTCCTTTAGGCCCTGTGGCTCCTGCGGCCCCTATAGACCCCGGCACTCCTTTAGGACCTGCTAGACCTCTAATGCCCTGTGGCTCCTGTGGCCCCGGGCACACCATCGCTTCCATTGGTCCCATCAGTTCCGTCATCTCCTCTAGCAGGGGCGGATCTAGAATTTTTCAAACGTCAGTCCAAAACTGGCAAACGCCGTATGGGGTCCGAGGGCATCCTCCCCTGGAAAATGTTGAAGCCTAGGGTCCCAGAAATGCGATTTCCAGCATTTTGGAATAGCTTTACAACAAATGTTCAAAGTGAATAAAATCGCAGTTTTTCATTTTTTCTTACAAAATATTGAGGACAAACACGCTAAGGGATGCCTTCAGCATGCTAGGAAACACATAAGGCAAAGCAATAAAGTGATCCCGGACATGGACAGTCTTTGTTTTAGCAGCAACGGCGCATTAAGCAGCCAGTTGTGCTGTCTTACATTTCTGCAGCAACGGCGCATTAAGCAGCCAGTTGCAAAGTCAGTAATATTTCTACAGTAACATAGCCATAACACATTAAGCAAATTTCAAACGTGTATTACCTTCAGCAAACTTATTGATCACTCTTTCTATGTCAGGAGTAATTTCTGGGTGAATTCGCATTAAAGCCAGGCCATTTAAACTTTCCTCTACCATAGTGCTCCTTTGGTAGGTTTTTAGATTCCTCAGTGCTGAAATTGATCTCTCACATTCACATGAGGTGATTGGTAGTGTACCTAAAATGCGAAGAATAATTTAATATTTTCAAATCCTTCAAATGTTACATCCTCCGACATAGCAACCGACCTCTGGGTGAAATTGAGCATCATCACGATGACCTCGTAATCCAATGCCAAGCCTTCCACAAAAAAGAACTGTATCAACAATTTGTTTAAGAATTTTCCTATTTTGCTCAATTTCAAGTTTTATGTTAGTATCTAAGATATTTTCAATAGGTTGAGCTACACCTGATATTTGAGATCGTATATTATTCAAAATTGGAGAAGTAAATGCATGTAGTCCCATTTTTTCCCCCTTACAACTTCCAGCATGTCGCCTAAATGTACCTACAGCATCATTCCAATAACGAAAAGGTGAACGAAATAGCTTGCTTATTCTCCAGCATTTACTGGGGAATTGATGTCCAAAAGAACACATGATAAGTAATAAGCACCATCTTCCTTTGGTGAATAACATAGCCAGGTAAAATTTTTGAGCCATTCAAAATTTAAAAGACCTTTTATTGTTCTCACTTAAAGGAGGAAAATTTTCATCTGGTTTAAAAACATTTTTAATAAGCAAACAAATATCAGACATTTTCAAACCTTTAGCTCTTTCGTAGTAGGTAGCTACATCAAAATTGTGACTAAAGTTAGGCTTTTCCGGTAAATCTTCAATGGTTTGTTCAGAAACCCTAGTACAAGAAACCTCACTTGTAATGATTTCTGGTTTTTCCATTTTTGAAAACAAGTTACTGATATTCCCAGACTTTTTTCCTGCTTTTGCTTTTTTTGAAGGCACTGGGCATGTTGGACCAGAAATTGTCCTTTTAGTTTTGCTAGGAAAAAAAACTAGAGGAACAAATTGATTAGGTTGGAAACATTGATCTGATTTAACTACCCCTTTATAACAAAACAAAAGATAAATTGCATTGGCTGATTCTTTAACTATTCTTCTTGGACAAACCAGAGAGTTGAATATTGATTTAGGCCGGCTCTCTCCACAATCTGGGTAGTAGGTAAAAATTTTTGTCTCCAACACAGAAGAAAGAGCTAGAATGCATAGAAACGATGACCACTTTTGGTCATGACAATTCAAAAAGGCCTCCTTATTGAAAAGATCAACACCTACAAAACCAGAATCTAGACAGTCTTGAGATACTGTCAAAGGTAAAATATTCTTTGAGGTGTTGTTGAATTCTTTATGCTGTTCAACAATTGAGGAAAATAAAGGATGTTGGCAGTAAAAAGTCGCATTCAAAAACAGCTCAAGTGATGTTAACTGCCTCAAAATATGCAATAAACTGTTATCACCTGCCAAAAGCAATGACACTGAACTGTAGAGACAGTTGCCAGATACTTCTGATCTAAATTGAATAAAAAAGTCGTTTTCCTGTAAGTCCTCCAACAAAAATTTAACTAACTGGCCAGGAAATATCTAACATAGCTACGTAGTTACATGTAGAAGATAATTCAAAGTTCAAATATAAATTCACTATTCGCTGAATTTATGCCAATATTTATAATAAAATTAAAAGCCCAAGCCGTAGATCTTTAGTATACACTGCACAAAATATAATCTACTTCATTAAAATTCATACAATACATGGTTGGATACCTTAAGGCCATGCATACATTTCCTTTGTCCTCGTGTTGCTTACGCACGATTTTGGGGATATAAATTTCTGCTGAGAACTCTCTGCTCAATGATGTTTCGCCTTTCAAAAGCAATGATAAGAATTCCGCTCTCGGCATTTTAGTCGCCCCAAAATATTCCTCATTCAAACGCAATTTCAATTCATTCAGAGATTTATCATTCTCTTGCGAAATTGCAGTCTGAACAGCAGCATACATTTCAATATTTAACATTGTAGTTTGTAAACGATTTTCCAAATAAATGCAATGAAACAGATTTTACAAACCAACCACGCTAAAGTGAATCACAATGTGATGATCTATCTCGCATTCCAGACACCACGCTTGACTATGTTAGTTCAGTTGGCTATCAGTCGAAATCCGTCAACCAATCACAATAAAACAAAAATTCAAATGAACCAATTGTAAGATAGCAATTGGACTCCCTTATACGTCCGGCCACCCCTCTTATCAGCCCAGACTGTCCACTCATCTGGCCATTGACCAATAAAATAAGCGTTTTTGGCGTTCATAGACTCCTTTATCCGTCGAACCAGTCAAGCCACCCCGCTTATCAGTCGGTTATTCCAGGTCAACTAAAATTCAACTGATCTGGTTACCAAGGAGATATTCATTGGATTAGTCATTAGTTTTCAATAATAAATAAAGCTGGATTTTTATCACGAAGTAAATGCAATAATAAAGTAAGAATAATTAATGAATTTTTAACTAATATGAATAGGTAATTTTTGAATTTCAAACATCAGTCGCGCGACGGATTTGACATACTCTAGATCCGCCCCTGTCCTCTAGGACACTCATCACCTTTCTCTCCATTTGGTCCTCTAAGACCCGTATCTCCTTGAGCCCCTGTAGCTCCTGCATCACCTTTTTCTCCCTTTGGTCCTCTAGGACCCGTAAAAATGGTGTCACGATTCGATGGGGTAAGGTTGGGGTTCATAGGGATCAGGGGATCGTAGAAAGATTTAACCGAACTTTGGCGGAGCGATTGTTCGGTTACCAGTATCATCGCGAGCGGGCTGTGCCCGGAACTCGGAACAAAGAATGGGTATCAAGATTACCTGAGGTGGTTAAAGCGCTCAATAATGAAACTACCCGTTTGACGGGCGAAAATCCCTTCCTTGCGATTGGGAAGAAGAGCGTTAAGGCCAAACCCGCTACGCCGGCGCTTCGTCCAGTTGGTTTCAAAGAGCGACGCTTGCTATCGGATGTTATAGTGCGGTATTTGTATGCCCCTGGCGAGCTCGAGTGTTGCGAACGGCGTAGGGCGACCGATCCTATCTGGAGTGTGACCTCCCACAAGGCCGAGCGGGCTGTGGTTGAGGGGGGGAAGCCTGTGTTGTATTATTTGAGCGATGGGCCCAAGCGTGTGTTTGTGCGCGAGGAGCTCCAAGTGGTGCCCTTTGGGACCGAAACACTGCCGGCTTAGTCAATGGGGTCCTGTCACGCTTTTATGAAAGCTTTCTCTACCAGGTACTACCTTGCACTTAGCCGTGGAGCAACTCTTCTACTGTAATTATCACAGCACAATTACGCATTTATTTCTTCACCTGCGCACCAGCTTCCCTATGCCCGTATGCTAGGGTAGAGATCCCATCGGCTGCGATCCAGCGCTTTGTGTCCAGCGGGCTCAACGATGTCTTGAAGACATGCTCACCGAAGATCTGATGCCCGCGACTGCGCAGCATATCCATACCGTGGCGGAAGCGCTTTGCTTCGAAGAGCGCCTCTTTGTACTGGGCGTGACCGACATGCTTTTTCATGACGGCCTTTTTTAACACCTTTGGCTTTGCGCTCCTCCTGACCATTGGCTTTCAGGATAGAGTACATCTTGGGCCTGAGCCCCACAAACTCAGCGATAGGCGCCCCAGCGCACTCGTCCTTCATTTTCCCCAGCACCTTCTTGTTGGCTGTGCTGAACAGCGGATGGTCTTTGGGGTAGTTGTTGGTGTCGTACTGACCGGCGTTGCGTCTCATGTCGGCGTACACGTCCTCAGTCTGGATCTCCAGCACAAGGCTGTCAGTGTCGGTGTAGAGGAGCTCTGCTGACGACCCGCACTGCACCTTGAGATGGTTGTAGTACCAGTCGTACATCAGATGCCGGTTGAGTAGCAGACTGCTTTTATTGATGTGGACGGCTGCGAGGTCTCCCGTATCGCCAAAGATGAGATGCCAATCGAATGTCAGCTTGGCGATAAGTTTGCGGAGTCTCTCTGTCTCGTTTGGCCGGAGTAGCTTCACATCGACACGTTTTCGGAGGTTCTCCGTCGTCTTGCCGAATACGCTGTTGTTCAGAAGCTTGTAGAGGTTGACTTCAAAGTCACTCTTTGCCTTCTTCCGGAGTTCGGTGTTTTTCCGGATGTAGGGCTCTATCCATGGGCTTTAATCGAAGCGGAGTGCCCTGTGGATCTTTTTCAGGCCAATGCCAAGCTGCAGATAGAGCTGCAGATAGTGCAGGACGTATCGGATCTTGTCGCGCAGATTGGGGACCAGCTTTTCGACCTCGTGAGACGCACCCCCATACATCTGAGGAGATTTCGCTGATAATCCGACATCCACGCGTTGTCGACCTTCAGGCGTTCTGGCGCTAACAGATATGCATTGTGCTCATCATGCAGCTCTTCTGGGTACTCCAGATCGACTTCGAGAGTGTAGCCCTTCTCAGCATCTACAGGCTGGTTCAGGACCGCCTTCACATCCTCTTGGGCGACCCACTCGAACGCGCCTGTCGGCAGCGGCTGCGACATCGCCTAGCCGTACAGGTTGTTGGCGTCGTAATACTGGATCCAGCTTTGGGGCTTCTCCGTATCGTAGTCTGGCACATTGGGGTTGTTGGCCTTGGCGAAGCGCCTGCTGGCCATGCTGATGCCGCCGCGCTGGCCCTTCTCGATAAAGAGATGCATGTCGATATCGGTGAGCAGCTCGAGCTCAACCCCTGTGTGCTTAAGGAGAGCGTCCCAGCTTAGGCCCGGGCTCGTGTAATAGTGAGCCGGGTCTAGCTGGTATCGCTCGGGCGTAGTCGCCGTCGGTAATGCCTTCGCCCGAGAGCTTGCTGTAGAAAGCCTCCTTCGGCGGGAGGGCCTCTTCGTCGAATTGGGGCCAGCCGTCCATGTACTCGTAGGAGTAGACCCCTTTCGTAGGAGCAAGAGGGTACGCCTCTCGAGGTTCGGCTCGTAGTCTGCTGTGATGCGCATGTCTCGCGGGTCGCTGGCTTTCACCAGGCCATCCAGGCTTGAGAGCATGAACTGAGCGCTGATAATAAGTCGAAGCTAGCCGATACTGAACGAGATGTATTTCTCGGCGTTGTTGGGGATGCAGGTGACCTTCCCTTCAGTCTCTGCGATAGTCTGCATGATGAGATGGCTGTCGTAGCCCCGCAGGTTGTGAAAGACAACCTGTATGGTTGTCGTCTTCGGGCTGAGCCGCAACTTCAGGTTGCACTCATTGTGGGCGGCACCTCGGTACTTGCCAGTAATGTGGCAGTGGTCTCGCACGGAATCGCCTTCGAGGGGCTTGCTGCACACGTGGCAAGTTGTGGCTTTCTTGTGGCTCCCCCAGTCCTTTCCTGTCATGTGCATAGGCTCGGGGTTAGCCAACACCGACTTGATCTTGCTCTATTCTTCTTGGAGCGCTTCCAGGAAATGCTTGGCCGCGTCAGGCCCTCGGTAGAGCTACGGCGGCTGCGTTTCCCCGTCGGAACAAACGACTATGAATGAGTAGCCACATGCCTCGTGTCTGGAATTTTGATGGGTGCCGCTCTTTTCAGGGTTAAGCGCGGGGCCCTCGGTCTTACGAACCAGGCTCTCGAAGTCTGCGTAAATTATGAAGGGCGCTTTGAGCTGCTTGTAGTTCTCAAAGCGGATTTTGTCGTTTTTTCCGGGGGTTAGCATTCTGATGGCAACCGCAGCCTGGTTGATGCCTCGACATTCAGGCTTATGCTCTTCCAGCAAATCCTGCATGGTGAAGCCGTGAAGGCAACGCTCACAGAAGTGCAGCCGGTGGCCATTCTTTCATTCCCGGTTGAGAAGGCTGTTGAAGTCCTTGATCCAAGTGTAGTGGTATTTTTCGGGGTTTTTTGAATCCGAGACGAGGAAGAGATTCACAGTCTTGCGGGGTCCCTTTACTTTGCTCAGACGGTAAGGAATTACGCTGCCCTCCCACCCGCACACCTTGATAGCAAGGTCGTTCTGACGCTCCACTCTTTCGAGCTGGGAGAGCGGTGTGGGTACGTTCACCCCCACAAAGTCAAGACCGTCTTCAGTGGGATACTTGCCCGGCCATTACGGATTTCTAGCTGCAGGAAACAGCGCAGCCCTTAGAGACCAGCGGAGGCAGTTGTCGTCTTTGTTTTTCACGTTGACGATCGCCTTCTTATTTTTGACCGCGGTGGGGAGAGGAAGGTATGAGCCTCCACGATCCACTATCCACCCAGACCCTTCCCGAGTGAACTTTTCCAATCTCTCCAGGATTGTTGGGAAAGCTTCATGTAGGGTTTGCAGAATCTCATGAGCCTTTAGCAGTTTGATCTGCTTTGTCCGGAGCACTGATGCTTGAAGCACTTCAGTACCATTTGCTTCATCCTTCCGAAGCTCAATCTCTACAGCAAACTGGAACTTAACTCCTCTTAGAGCTAGTAGCTCCTCGACAAGTTTGCGTTTGATGTAGGGCTGGGCGTTTTTGAGGAAAGCCATCAAGTCGCGTTCGGAGGGGTGCCCCTTCGGCACCTGCATTTTCCAGGCTCTCAGATGATAACTGAAGGCCTTCGTTTCATCCCACTTAAGTTCCGTAGGTGGTGGGGGAGGAGCCCTTGTGGGGCGTCGTGGTTTAAATTCAGCCAGAAGCTCATTGATGTATGCGTCTATCTCATCATTTGGTAGGCTTGGTGGGCCAGCGCTTACGCGGTTTGGGGATAGGCCTGCGCTTGCCCGGTTTGGGGATAGGCCTGCGCTTTCGCGGTTTGGTGATTGGCGGAGTGACATTTCTTGGCGCTGGCGTTTGAAGAGCCTCAAGAGAGTCGTGCAGCGCGTCTCCGCTGATCACACCTTGTTTATTTAATTGTATAAGATCCTTGACAAGAACATCCATCTCAAGTGTCGCAAATTTTAGTGCTATACCCTACGCGAGATAAATCTCTAAATCGAAATGAATTCAAAATGTCGAAGTTAATTCGGCGAGTACTCTAGCAAATCTCTTTCTTGGTTGTTTCTGTTTATAAACGAGCTTATGATGCACCCTCTCCGCACCGCAGACTTGATAAAGGATAGTTTCTGCCTGTGTTCTGACCCCACACTTACGACATGGTTGTGGAAGTCTCCCGCCTTCCCTTAACCGCCTCATATGAAGTCCGCAGTATTCACCCTAGGAGCTTCGCCCACATGTGGTAAGCTTTCCGGGTAAAAACCACGCACACTTGTTCTTGCCCTGCCTCATGGCTGTCGAACGTTTGGATATACTCTATGAGAGTATATCTCTCTAAATAGTAGACCCCAGACGGCCGGGGGTGGGCCGGGGGGTGGGCCGGCCGTCGTTGGCTCCTGCCGTTGTCCAGGGTTTGGCCTTCGCTGTCTTGTGATTTTTGTGCCGATATATGTGCTTACTATGTGCTTACTATTTGCTTACTATGTGCTTACTATGTGAACCACGTACCCGAACTAGGGCTGGGGCGCTTAGATTTGTGTATACTCCTTCTCAAACTGAGAAGTTTGCTCGAACTGGCAGTCTCTATACTACTGTTTTCCAATCAAATGAGTCAATCGCAGTCATGTGACTCAATGTTCTCCGTGAAGGCAATGAAGTTATTGACGGTATTAAAAATACAAAGAGTTAAATCGCTGATTTTCGAACTAAAAATACTGAAATGAGCCACCTTACATTGCTTTTTAACTTATATTACACAAATAAACTCCTATTTGAAAAATTGATGATAAATGTGCTAATGTATATGTTACTAAATAAGTCATATTTTTATATGTCATGGAACATGCTATAGGATCTTCAAATTTTATAGAATATGGAAATGAAATGTGGCATAGCAGGAACAATACTATAGAATATTTACGTAACAGAATTTGGAATATTATATAGGATTCTTTAGGCCATCAAAACACAATCAACAACAAGAAATAAGTCTTTATGATCATAAAGAAAACTGAAAAGATATAATAAGCATACAAACAAAAAATATGGTTTCTAAGAATATGGCTTCATTCACAGGTCTTTTTTGAATGACTGATAGCTGTTATATCACCTTGTTTGGGGTCTACTACGGTGGCCCATTAGTGACACGTTCATTCTATAGAAAATCGTGCTTTCATTTTATAAATTAATTGATTCAATAATAAAAAACAGTTTGCCTTACAAAAGTAGTCAACTTCAGCGAAACAACCGTATTCCACTAATAACAAAGAACAGTTTTCAATTTTAGTGACGTGTTCTGTACAAACTTGATTACTGTTCCGTAGAAAATTAAAAACACTGCGCGCGCATATACTTTATAATCTGTGATACATGAAGTTTCATGTTATTTGATCAAACATGGCGGCTTGTCGACTGTGCAATGTAAACCTTCTTATGCCATGCAACTTCTGTCCTTATTGCGGCTGTAGAGTTACAGGTATGATGACGATTGATTGTATAATTTGAAAATATTACTCCGTCAATTCTATTCTGTAGCAAAGGATTTTTATATGTATTTTGTATTTGTATAATGATTGCCAAAATTGTGGGACTACAATATTACAAGGCGAAAGTTTTTGTCATACTTGTGGCCATGCAGTTACAAAAAAAAAGGTAATTCAAGATAATATTTAATTCAAAATGATTATTTTGTAAATTATATGAAAATATTTTATAAAACTATTAATTGATAATAGTCTGTAATTTAAAATGAATAGACTTTGGAATAAAGAATTTTTCAACATTACAAAAAAGTTTAAAGAATAAAAAATGAATTCATGTAAAGTTAGCTGTTTTATTAACTTTAGATTCCCATGTGCAGTGTAATAACATCCAGTTTTATAACAACTCTGGCACATCTAACAATCAAAGCTCTCCAGCAAGTGGCTTAACTTCCGTCATTTGTAATGACAGTATGCCTCGTGACTTATGTCCAATGACCTTTCATTAATTTCGAAAATAAAAAGCACAAGAGAGGTGCTTTAAATTCTCAATTTCTAAAACAAAAAAGAGGAGCATTTCAACAGCAAATAAAAAAGCTAGATTAGCACAAGAATGAAAGTGCAAGTTGGTGTGGTTAGAGAAAGTGTTGAAGATGGTAGATTGAAAAAAATCAAAGGAAGAACTATTCCTATATTGTTTAATAAAGACGACAATGCCAAGGTATTGCTCGAAAAGGTAGTTGAGGAGCATGCAAGGCACTTTAAGCAATTGGACAGAGACGATACTTATGTCATTCTCTATCAAGATATTACTCTTGTTAAAGATTTACCATGTAGTAACACACCTTTCAACCTTGGAGAATACAAACGAGACCTACTGAAACCCTATTGTTACACTACCGCTCGCGTATTTATTAACATAATTTTGCGTATGATACGCGTGTCATACGCGTATCGTTCTCGTATCATACGCGTATCATCCTCGTATCATACGCGTATCATTCTCGTATCATACGCGTATCGCTCTCGTATCATACGCGTATCGTTTCATTTTATACGCATGTCGTTCTCGTGTCATACCCGTATTACTTTCTTATTATTCTCGTATATGGTTTTAATATAGTTTTGGTTTTATTTGTTATAGTTTGTGATAGTTTTGTTGCTTCCATGTCCTAAACTTAACCCTTTAGATGCTGAAGTTTTTCTTCAATATAGTTTTTCAAAAAACCATGACTTATGTTATCACAATTAGTTTCCGTTTTTATATAAGAATGTGTCACAAACTATTCAGCTATGTCATTGATGAATCAAATGTATACTTAGATACGACGTGAGACAATCGCAGCTCATTGCAAAAGCAACCCAAAATTTATTAATGCATAACATATACATGTATATATAAGATCATCTATTAAAAAATTCTTTTCCTATATCGTGCCTTTAAATTATTTCGTGAATAAAATATCTTAAGAGTATACTGACATTTTTTATGTCATCATTGTGCTACAAAGCAATTGTAAGTGTGTCGTTTCTTATGTTTATAGCACACGCAACTTTGAATGAATCTCAAAACAAACTAATCACAATTACTTTCCGTTTTCATAGGATGTGTCACAAACTATATACGTCATTGATGAGTCATATGTATACTTAGATACGACGTGAGATAAGCACATTTCATTGAAACTAAAGCAACCCAAAATTTATGGATGCATAACATACATGAACTTGAATGGTATCATTTATAAAAACCCAGTTGCTTTATTGTTCCTTTTAACTCCTTCATGGTGAAAATTTCTTAAGTGTATATTGATGACATCTATATGTCACCATAGTGCCGCTCATTACGATGAACAAAGTTCTATCAAGTATCACAGCGTTTCATCCTCGTATCATACGTACGCTTATCGTTCACGCATTATACGCTCATCATACGCGTATCCTTTTGTATCATACATGTATCATTCTCGTATCATACGCGTATCGTTCTCGTATCATACGCGTATCGTTCTCGTATCATACTCGTATCCTTTTCGCATCATACGCGTATCCTTCTCGTATCATACGCGTATCCTTCTCGTATCATACGCGTATCGTTTCATTTTATACGCGTGTCATTCTCGTGTCATACCCGTATTACTTTCTTAATATTCTCGTATATGGTTTTAATATAGTTTGGTTTCGATTTGTGATAGTTTTGTTGCTTCCATGTCCTAAACTATGTCCGCGTAGCGTATGTTAACAAATACGCGAGCGGTACTGTAAATTTAATTCTGGTTATGTCCGGAATATGATTTTGAACATTGTTCCTGTTACAGTGAAGACAATCATTCAGACGAAGAGCTTCTGTTTTTTCCATTTAGTTGTAATCATTACTATAGCAACTTAGGAATTCAAGAGTTACCATCACCAAAACATGCAACTACTTCAGAGTCAACAACGTCTTTGACAGCACCAAACATCCCATGTTCATCTCAACCTAAATTGTCATTGCAACAGACGTCAGGCAGCATTGAAAAATACTTGGTCACAACTCACCAGTGTCCAACATGTTTGATGCATTTTCCTCGTAATGAAATTGAAGTTCATGCCGATCTTTGTGCTGAGACATATATAGATACTGTTGGTGAATGTGAATCTGATGACCAAGACTGTGAAATTCAGATTGTGGAGGGAAACTTATTGAATGAAAAGGCTAAAAGTGTGACTGATAAGTTTGAAACTGTGCAACAAATTGTTGAAAATTTAAAGTGGTACTATGACGAAAATTTTGCCTCTCGTTTTTTTTTTTCATAGATTAATAGTGTATGTAAAAAAATCTCTTCTGGCGAAATTTTAGCGCAATGTATTTCATGCTGCTCGAGTTACGTAGCGATAAAACTTGAACTTTAAGAGCCGCCATTAAAATGCGTAATTTCTACTTTTGCTAGTATATTTTGTCCAATGTTGACAACGATCACCCCGCAGTGACGTAACGACGAAAAACCGCTGCTGTACTGCGGCTTCGCTTGCATGTACACAATGGCGATCGAACAAGAGGCAAAGATACACACATTTAAGGCATTATTTCTCGAGTTAAATTTGAATTGGAAACCTAGGATTTCGCGAGGGAGGTAAGAACAATATACACTTTCATACGAGTGAAAGTTGTGTTAAGGTCTTACTACTCCTTTAATGTCTAAAGATATTGAATAAATAGGTAGAACACTTGTAATGATAGAAAATTAATTAATTGGAGTACTGTAAGAACATTTTTTCGTACAGAATGCCTCAACTATATAGAGAAGAAGCTGTTCAACGAAACAGGATTTCCAGTAGTGAATGTACAAGCCTTGGCCAATGAAGAATTCCAAGTTGCAGGAGAAGTTATTGCTGCGTTAATTGTTCAAGGAGGACCAGCTCCCTGTTTGTTTTCTTTACAGGTGTACAATTACATAGTGGATGGAATATCAAGCGTACATGCACACAACTGGTGTGAACAGTTAAAGGATGACACAATTAAAATAACTGTTGAAAAGGTAATCTTTGGAAATTGCTTATAACCTGCATCTCTCTTTGTGTATTGAAGTGAATATTTCTGAATAAGAAATTTTACAGATCTAGTCTTGTGCAAACGATGATGATTTGGTTGCATTAATGGAAGAAGACTCGACGATGTATGTTTTGCAAGTAATTGGTTATTGTGGTATTCCATCTAAGGAGTCAAGAGAATCAAGCGACAAGATAATTAGGTAAATTCCATAATGTAAAAATGGCTTTGGAAATGCTGCAATAGCTCTGAAGGAAATTATTTTAATGTTTTAACATTACATATTTCATGTCTCTTGTGATAAGTGATGCGTCGAAAACTCTAGCCTTTATTGACCAATTAATATCTGGTCTTGAGCTACGTGGGGTTATGACTGAGTTGAGCAAAAACAGAAATGTTATGGAACTATTATTTACCATTGGTGGAGCACAAAAGTTTTCAGTGACAGCTGATCATATTCTAGATAACATTTTGATAGAATGCAGTCCTGAAGGGAGCAACCAAAAGTTATTAGAAATCATTAATCACAAGTTTTTTTTGTAATTACATTCAAGCTCTTGAAGCTAAAACAGGTATACATAGTGATTAATGAGCATTGCATGGACCAAGGAACATATCAGGGAGGATATCGATTGCTAAAGCTGCTGAAGTTGGTTGGAAGTAGTTGATATAAAATGCAATTTTTCAGTAACGTAATCAAGGCATTTATATATTTTGCAATCTTTAGATGCTTTTATTGTTCCAATAGTTCTTTAAGTCTGGAAAATTTTCCTGAATAATTTTAAAGGAGTTAACTGATTCACTTATCCAATGATTTTTTGCTTCATTTTACTTTTTGTATTGTTTCTCAAGGAGCTGCAAATTCTTTGTCTGCATTGTACATATTTATAACTGGAGTTGAAACAGTGACCCCACTTGGCATAGAAAATAACATCACTGTGAAATTCAAGCATGGATGCAAAGCTGGTTGTAGATGCAGACCAACAGCCTCTACCTGTGCTACAAGCTTAACACTCCCAGTTCATATTGATGATTCAAAGCAATTTGAAGATTTAATGGATGCTACACTTGCAGAAAGTTCTGGTTTTGGCTTCATTTAAAGAATACAGTATCAATTATATATTTCAAAGACATTTCTCTCTTAAAACGTTTTTAATGTTAAGACAACTTAAAATTTTTGTTAGATAACACAAACATTATTTTGCATTAGCAGTGCAAATAATTCTGATGCTTCCTGATAGTTTTCAGGATATTGTAATCTTTGCAACTCAACCAAGTAATGGAAATAATCTTGAAAAGTATTATCATACAACAATTCATTATGGCAAGCATTGCTCTCGGCTATTTGCAATTTCTCTTCAGTAACTCTCACTTGGCAATCAAAAGCCCCATACTCCTCGGGCATTGCATATAAAACATTTGGAACTCCAGCAACAGTTTCATGTTGAGATTGCCGAATATAGTGAGTATTCCGATTAACCTGACAATCATTAAATGAATTTTGCAAGACACCATTAAAACAAAACCACAAACATTCTTTAGTGAAATCATCATTTTAATTTAAATGCTTTTCCTCACAAAGATCTTTGAAAAATTGAACCCACCAACTTGAACATGTTTATCTAAAATGTGAACACCAATTCTCAATTCTTTGATTTGATGGAGATGTACCAAATGCATGAGCTTGACTACCACAAATGGTGCATTGTCAAGTGATCGAAAGTAGCAATGAGCTGCTGCAATGATCCCATTCTATGTTCCACAATCACTCCAAGTCTGCAAAGGACATGCCTTATTCTTTCTTACTGCCTCAAAGTAAAATTTAGCTACACTCTCTGGCAAATTATTTGACCGTGTAACTTCTAACTAAAGAACTTTCCTGCTGAAGCCATCAATTGCACCATGCACAGGGAATCCAAATGGCTTCAGCGTATCATATCCTACGAGGCAATAAAAAGTAGTTAACAATGAATGCAATGATGATAACAGATAGAAAGTTAATGAAAACCGAAATGATAGAAATTGGTACTTACCATCTATGTGCCAGCACTGATTAGGTCCATATGACATATAGTTACGCCTTTTAGGTTATTTTTTGCTTTCTCAAAGCACATGCCTCTGGATCTAGTTCTTTTAAAATAAATTCCACCAGTTTTCGGGGTACATGTATCTGATGCTTTAGTTTAAGTATGTGCCACATCTTCCGATAACCAGCCAAGCATCCAGGACCTTGCATCTCATTCGAAATAATTTCGCGCACAAGGTCCTCTGGAACTGTTTGCCTTCTGGTTAAATTATAAGATTTAAGACTGCATTTTAGAGTCCGTAAATCCATTTCAATACCATGCTCATTCTTTAGTAGGCTAATTATGATATTATATTTATATGCATAATTTCGTAAAAGCACTATTGCCAATACACATTTAATATAAACGACAACTTTTTTGAAAATAGACATGTTTCGACATCTCATGATGCCATCTTCAGTATGAGTGAAATAATAGGTGATACAGTGTTTATATAAAATAATATGATACATAAATTACAACAATAAAAAGGAAATAAGATAAATTAATGAGGAGCGTCCGAGCGTATTATAAATTAAATATTGTATTGAATTTAAAAACTTGAACATTGAGGTCAGGGTTAGTTTTGTTAACGTGGAGTGCTTCTTTGATTTTAAGGGTGAATGAGGTGTCGGCGGTGTCGATGATTTTGAAACAAGAGGGTGTATAGTTGGTTTTGCATGAGTGAGATTTAAGAAGGTGTCGGTAGATATGAGAGTTTTTGTCTGTTGTGGTATGTTCCCTGATTCTGGTGGATAAATGGCGCGAAGATTCGCCAATGTATCGAAAATTATATCCCGCGCAATTGAATTCATATACCACCATAGATTTTATTGAATCAGGGATTGGGTCTTTAAATGGGAAAAGGTTTTTGATTTTGAATGATGTGAAAATTAGTCGAATGTCAATATCTGTACAGAAGCGTTTCATAATGTTTGTAAGTCTGCGTTGTGTGTGTCGTGAATAATATCCGATGTATGGTAGTTTGAAGTATAGAGTTGTTATTTTGGAATTTTCATTTGGTTGTGATCGTCGTGTCAAGAGTTTCGGTGTCTATGTTGAGGTTGTTGCTATGTTTGTTGTCGAGATATCGTTTTACGGTTCTGTTAATAAAGTGAAGTGGGAAAGAGTTTCGTAAAAGAGTGGATGTGATGTTTTTTATGTCTCGTTGAAAGCCATTGTTCGTATTGTTAAGTTTGTATGCTCTGTCGATTAGTGTGCATATAAGTCCGGTTTTGTATGAAAGTGGTGTGAAACTAAAATAGTTCGTCATAAGTCCTGTTTACGTTGGTTTGTGGTATGTAGATGTTGTACAGCTGTCGTGAGATTTTGTAAGTAAAATGTCAAGAAATGGCAGTTGATCTTGTTGTTCAGTTTCAAATGAAAATCTAATGTTTGCGTGCTGTGTGTTAATGTAATTATAAAACTTCATGGCCTCAGTTTCGTTAGTAAAAACACAAAAAATATCGTCAACGTATCTGCGGTAAAATAGTGGTTTAGTGTCGTTGTAGTTGTTTAGCCAGTTTCGTTCATGTGAACCCATGAAAATGTTAGCAAGTAGAGAGAGCCCATCGCAACACCGTCCGTCTGGTCATAAAATTTTCCATTAAATAAAAAATGCGTCTGTGCTGTTGCTATTAAAAACAGCTGTGTGAGGTCTGTCCTGTTTATACTGAACCTGGGGTTGTGAGTGAATATTAAGTCGATTGCTAGGTTGATGGTTTCAGTAAGTTGTATGTTAGTAAATAAGCTTACAACGTCGTAGGAGATGAAGAATTTGTGACAAGAAGTTGATGAGTTGAAAGATGAGAAGTCGTCGAGGAAAGTGAAAGAATCTTTAGTGGAGTGGTCATCTGGTATGAGTGGTGTTAGTAGAGAACTAAGATACTTAGCTAAATTATAATTGTATGCGTTGATTGATGAAACTGTCGGTCGTAGTGGAGGCGATTGTTTTGGTTCTCGTTTCTTGTGAAGTTTCGGTAAGCCATAGAAGCGTGAGGGTTGATAACCTCTGGGGAAGATATCATTATAAACTTTGTTGCTAATGGAGTATTTCTTTAGAAGCTTCCTTAACAGTCGTTATAGTTTGTAGTTTCTCAAACCGGACAAAGGCAACGGCGTTGTAATCATGGATCGTCAAATGTAACGTAACTCCTGCCTTAAAATCATTAACAATACAGCAAAGTTTACCCCACTCAAAGAAGACGTCACACTACCACGTGAAGCCAAAGTCACTAAACAGTCGAGTAATATACCATAGATTCACATTTTTACAGGTGTACAAATCGGGTGCTAAACAAGTCGTTTACCAAAGTTGATTTAGTTCCTTTTAAAAATATTCTATTACATTCTTTTTCTACAAATGCAGAAAATAACATGTCTTTGCTTCTTACATAAACAGAGTTTAGAAACATTTCTGTGTTTAATTCCAGTTGTGCTTTCAGTTTATAGAAAAAATATCAAATTGAAATATCAAATTATAAGTTATATAAGTACAAATGGTATACAATTGAAATATGTAACAAAAAACAATCCATGTACTTTGATGAACTAGATATATAAATTACTATTGTTGTGACAAGATGCTATGTTCAAAATGTAATGCTGTTGAGTTTGTGTATCATGATCTATTATGAAAATAAAAAAGTGCATCCAAAGTGCATCCAACGGCATTAATTACCATGGACGTAATAACTCAATCAACATATTCATATGCAAAAAGAAAAAAATATATACCTACAATGAAGTAAACCAGCTGAATAACATTTTATATGAAACTCTTTAGATCAAAATGGATATCTATCCATGGAATTTATGTAAAACTGTGTGTTGTAGGTTGATTATAATGAGGATTAACATTTCTGTAGTAAAAGCCATTTGCATATCGTAGTCATCTCATTGCCGGCACTTCACAAATTAGCCTTTGTATTTAGTTTTTGTGACAAATTTTCCTAAAACCATCAACGGTTGGCAATTTAAGTGAGAGTATTGTTTTTGTTTCCCTTTCAGAATACCCAAGTTTTAATGATGAATGTCCAGGTGGATATCTGCAGATATATAACGGTGGACATCTACAGATACATAACGCATGTAGCATGTACAAAGTCCATTGTTAGTGTAACGGTGCATAATTTTTTATGTCATTGTTGTATTAATACAAATTAATAAAAATACCGGTTTAAACTCACCTGAAAGACTGCGTATTATTCCCACTTAACATGAAGACATGTTCCGCTTCTTCTCCATAAAATTAGTTTTTATAGTATAAAGTTCATCGTAGCATATTATACACCTGGTCTTTAAAAATAATAATTTAAATTCAATTATAAGAATGCATCGCTATGCTCACTCCTTGAAAATCCGCCATATTTGTTTTATCAATTGTAGTTTTACCCAAGAGGTAGGTAGTAACTTTTATCCCTTACTTTGATTTACCCCATCTTCTGTTTACCCCATCTTCAACGTAAAGAAATTCTCCCACTTTTAGGTGTAATTATTACCCAGAACACCAAAAACCGGGCAATTATTTTAGTCTCTTTCATTACCCTATTAAGTGGGGTAAATTGTTGTACCTTGATTTGGAATTACCCTAGAAATAAGGGTAATTACTACCCCACATTTGTTTATCTCATTGACAGGGGTAAAAATTTTTGCCACCTGAAATTTACAGTGTATCTAGAAGAAAACTGGCCCCTGTCTGATGAGGATCTGGAGAGAATACACAAGCTGTATCGATTAGTCGCATATCAATGATATTCTAGGTGGATTTTTCAAATTTTAGGGATAAACATCGAAGACCATTTCGTGCTTGTGTTTATGCTAGCATACGAAAACGCTTCGCGTCACCAGACGGACTTTATACACATTTTAAACAAGCATGTTATCACGAAAGACCGTAAATTTAAGTTAATAGAAAAGTGTACTTGTACATTGTGCACTTCACAGTCCGTGACTCTACAGTCAAGAACAAAACTTAACGGCTTACATTTTATCGCCTATATAAGACTACATAAAATCGCAAAGACTCTCATTAATTATTTATATATACAAATAATTAATGAACATATAACTCTTTGTTGGTCACAGGTTTGTAATATGGGAAAATGAAATATTTTTATTGAACGAAATGTTCAGTATACGAAAACACGCTTACACATGGTATGTCGCGAAAGCCTAGTTTTAAGATCTGCCAAAATAAACGTTTCTACGTCTTATAACGAATAAATATTGGAAAAGTATATAAGCGTGATATACTACACAACTTTTGTTAATCTTAACAACCGCCGACTGTTGTTTTTGTTTTAAAATTCCAGTGAACAAATGTTCCATATATTATTATAATACTATTATTTTATATTGCGTCATTCAGCTAATACCAACTAATGACGTCAGTAATGTATTCCGACATAATTTAGCATAAGGCTTTTTTTCAAAAATGGCGAATAAGGATTCAACTTTATGTCAAATTTTCTCGAAAGCAAAATTTAAAAGAGACACAAAAATACCAAATTAAGTATTCCATAGCTATCTATGATAAACGTATGAAAAAAATTCCGTTGCCATCGTCTATTAATTCATCTATTACGCATTTATCATCAATCTATCATGTACATTTCAACCATCCTTTGTTGATTTGGATCATTTAAATTTTAAAGCTTTTTTGTGCTTACCAACACACCAAATTACTTAAATAAGAAGTTGCTGGTATTATATGTGGCTAAAAACAATAAATTGTATGCTTTATTCAACCAATTGCAAATCGACAATGCCATTATAGGATGTTCATTGTTCCCCATTGTCTTTGTTCATAATAACTACAATATCGAAACAAATAAAATTTCACCTTACTTTGATTACGTTACAATATAGCAGCACTTGTTTGAAAACACCGTTTCTTGCTAAAGTTACGCTAAGAATAATAAATAAAACGGGTCAACCGTCAACAACTGGTCGCCAAACCTTGTTACACGTGAACTTACATGTTGAATTATTCCTTGGCCAAGTTCTGTGTTTATTGAAATATAGTCAAAACAGCATGTACTTACGATGGAAACGTTGATCAGCTCGTTCTTGAATGTGTTGTATCAAATATATATTCTTTCTTGAGTAAAAAATTTTAATAGCTAATAATCGACTTGCCTCTTGCAATGAAGTATGCCGAAGACACGTGCAAAATAGTATTCTGAGGAGACAAAGTTTCTTAACGTCTACAGCGATTTATGTTTCTTTTATTGCATATTTCGCCAAGTGTGTCGCATCGGTCGCATCCGCGTCATAACGTTATCAAACTGTATATTAAAATTTATTTTTTATAAACGCTGATACAGCGAACGCATATTGATATCAATGTTAAGAAAAAACGACCGACGTAATTTTACTTTGAATTACAATAGCATATGCTTTTTATTGTAATATTATAAATATCTACGGCCGTTCTCCCCGTGTAAACAGCAATCGAACACGCGTGTAGCATGAAATAGTTGGCCGCCATATTTTAATTGAGTCACCCGATTCGATGCAGTCAACAAGTTGCTCTCGAACCAATGTTGCACCAATTGTAGAAGAAAAACAACCGCCTTGGAGCCAAATTGGCCTCTCCTGTCTCATTTAGCCCTCATTGTTAGCCAATATGGCAAGCAATTTGAAAAGCTAAAACGACCTAATGGTGCTAAAATGGTCCCCATCTTTCTATTTTGGCACCAATTGTAGAACAAAAATAACCTTCACTGAGCCAAAGCGGCCCTGTTATCTGTTTTAGCCCTCAATGTTAGCTAATATGGCTAGCATTTTCAAAAGCCAAAACGACCTCATGGGGCTAAAATGGCCAATTTCTTTTACCGTGTGCGTGTTTTCTAGAACTGTTATAATCAACCAGCAGAAAATGCGATGAATTAAGTAATATAATACAACAAAGAAGCTTATGATATGAAGTATGGCAAATGAATAAAATCATAGATGTAACTATATTAATAATCGAGAAATATAGTTTAAAGCCTTCGTAGATTGTTTAGATGTGAAAAATCATTCGTGGATGTTTTTCCCAAATTGCACTCGAAACCATGCTATTACATATACAAACATTGGTGGCTCCATTTAAATTCTCACAAATTTTCCTTTTTCATTTTACTTATAATAGTAATTTTGTTCGATAATCTTCGTGACTTTTTATTGGTTGTGCAAAACTAAAAGTAATGGGAAGTGCTAGCTATATATATAGTATGTGCAAAATACTATTTGGTAAAACTGATACGCACTCGCTGTTGTGTGATCTTGCGAGCATTTTTGCAAGCAAATTTTGCAAATTATTCCGTAAAACGGGGAATTTGCGTTTTCAACGATCTAAATATCAAAATTTTTAGGAGGAGCATTCTACCGGATAAACTCAGAGGGCTTGCGGTTTCAACGCTCGAAGTGCATCTGTCACCAAAATTTCTGGATCTGCCTCAGAAATCAGAACAAAAAAGATTATTAACTTTTCTACTAGTGGTGACCCACTAAATTCGCCAATAAAAAGAAAGAATGTCTGACTTTTTGACTAAACAACTTGAAAGTATGTATATATTTTAGTCGTATCGCACCACACACACTGTAGGATATGTGTTCAAAAGATTTTTATTTCAAAGACATTTATTGCAAAAAAGAAACACAATAGTCTAAATTACTGAAGCATTTCCATAACTGGGATCTAATATCAATAGCGTAACCTCACGTCAAACAGTGATACAAATGGATGTTATTTCCTTAACTTATTTTTTAAACAAATAGCTCCTTCGCAATGAAGTTTTGAGAGTAACTAACACAAATTAATCAAGCTGTTGCATGTTTAAAAGCTATCCAATATACCATAAATCTTGGTTCTTCCCTAAAATTTTTTTGTTGACTAGTTTTCTTAGCCATGTGTTCATTTCTGCAGGGTTTGCCGATGAGTAAGCGAATTTCATTTTGGGCGTTCTGATTCTGACCCTATTTAGAGGTGCAGCATTTGCTATCTCTAAAAAAACGCAGTATTCAATTTCACACGTTGAGCAGTAAACAGCAGCTTGTATAGAACTATTCATAAAATTTAGAGTAATTAGTAATAAGTGTCTTATAGTAGATACTATGCCCTAAAATTCTGGGTGGTAAAATGAAAAAAAAAAATTTAATTGCATCTCAAATTAATATACTCCTTGCGTAAACATTGTGATTATTTTTAAAATATCTAACAGCAAGTGTTACTCTAACAATACTTGCGAACTGAAAATTTCGTAAACATCTGAGTAAATTGAATTTCCTAAATTTATCAACATACAGACGTTGTTTTTTCTTTGTTTTTCTTTGACAGCCTACAGAAGTAATTTAGAACGTCATGGTCAATATCATAATGGGAAAAAACTTCAAGAAAACTTTTCCTTGGCTCATTTTCATCACAATTCTTTGTATTTGTCTAAAAGTTGGCAAATGGAAACAGAACACATATGTTGTGAAGTCGTTCCATGAAACGTGTAAGAGCAGCAATTCAAGCAGTATAAAAATTCAAGTCAAATCAAATCACCAAAATAAACGTTTTATCTACTTAATACAAACAGAGTCTTGTTTACTGGACAATCTTCTTAACCCACAAATGTTTGGACATAAAGCAGAGCATGATGTCCTTGTGCTGTCTTGGAAAAGCATGTGTTCTGCAACTCAATTCTCCACACCTAGTTACAACATTAGCTACATTTTTAGGCCTGGTACAACTTGGAGTTCTGGAAGGAACATTCTGTACGAGTTGGCAATGAATTCTTCACAATCCTACCTCTATTATATTTTCTTGGATGGAGATTTATCATACCATTTCTCAAATTCCGATTTTGAAAAGACGTATCGTCAGTGTAATACGTCATTGGAAATGTTTGAGTATTTTCTTTTGAAATACGAGCCTGCAATTGGAGTGCCTTTTTACTGCCCACGTCCAACAATACAAGGCCAGCCGTTATGTTATTATGATTATAAAATTTTTCCTTTCCGTGAAGTAATACCTGTTTCAATTTATTTCGACGCTGCTTTTAATGCTTTTCACAAGGACGCCATAAAATCCATACTTCCTATCGATTAATATACGAAAAGGAGAGTTGGTGGGAAAGTCAAAAATTTGTGATTCTTGCCGCTGATATAATATTTCGTGGACAAATACTGACAATTCTTCCAGTTGCTACTGCAAATATAATGCACAGGAAATACCCCAGAGACAGTAGAGATAATTGGAACGACATTTATGACATGTTGCTAAAGGAAACGCCAAAAGAATATCGTATAATTAAGGAATTCAAGCCTTCATATACAACTGTGAGCACTGACCCTGTTGTAAGAAATGACACCGTCTATACGCCATATATGCACGTGGAAATTCCTCAAGGACGAATTAATGTTGAACCGTACAAACGATTTAAACATTGAAACAGTTTTTCACATTAAGTGGTTATTTCTTAACATGTCTTTCTTCCTTAAAAATTAGTACTGATGATGAAAATATGAAAGAAAAATATGAAAAATGTAGTTAAGCTTGTAGTCCATATAGCTAATTGATTTGTGTTTATTAATCTGAATTTAATCTGTAATCTATTAAAACAGTCGTCTTCTGCAGGTGCGATGCAGGTACGGGTCCTTCGTGTAAACGAGTAAATTTTGATAGGGAGATAGTGAATGATGATTGATTTAAATAATGTTGCGAGTTTGCGGAAAATTCATATATTAAGCGTGAAGAAATTCTTAACCTAGCTCAGTTGGTAATGATTTGCCTTGAAAAACTAAAAGGTAAAATCAAAGATAACCTTCTGCTGGAGAACAACTAGTCTGGACATCAAGAAAAGCTACGACGTTTGCTAAATGTTAGCGGGCTTCTCGCGTAAGATGAAGTTAAAGAGATACCAAAAAAGTTAAAACAAAGTTCCCTGAAAGTAAATCGATAGATTACAAACATTCAGTTCTTATTCCTTGTCCCTGTAGCTACGTTGTCAAAATTTTACAAACAGCAAACGCGTGGAATTGGAAGAAAGGGGGAGCAATTTGGGGAGTAGATTTCAGGTGTCACAAATATTTCTTCAAAGTAGAATGGACAATAGTTTTAATGATTTGCTAAAAACCATAAAACAGTGGCCAATCGTCATCAAGGCTATATTCTAAGTAAACGCGTGCTTTCAGGGATATTCCTCTTGGCTTGGCTTCGCGAACGAAGATTTTATAAAGGGGGCTGTCCACGTCGACTACAGGCACGCTCGTGGCTGGCAACTCCGATGCGAGACAAACAGGTTCGGCCGCTGCGGCTACAGTCAAAGGTCACGTCAGGTACGGCTGCTGAAGCTTCCCGGTTCTTCCTCCTCCTCCGGCGTTTCTCCCTCAAGTTCTCTGTACGAGAATCCTCAAAGGAGGAGACAGCCTGGTGGACAGTACGACGCCAAGCATCACGGTCAGCAGCAAGAATAGATCACTGGCGGTGGTCGAAATGGCAGGCTCCCAGGGACTTCTTCAAAGAGTCTTTGTAGCGTTTCTTTGGTGCCCCTCTGTCACGGTGGCCAGTGGAAAGTTCGCTGATCATCTATTCTGGAAACGTGCCCTGCCCAACGTAGCTGCGACTTCATTGGCATGGCCTCGATGCTGGGGATCTCCGCCTGTGTGAAGACCTTAACATTGGTGACGTAGTCACTCCAGTGAATTTTGAGGATGGTGCGGAGACAGCGCTAATGGAAGCGCTCAAGGAGGCGTAGGTAGTGACGGTAAATTATCCACAACTCAGAGCCGTACAAGAGGGTGGTGAGTACGACGGCTCTGTACACGCAGTTCTTGGTGCTCTTCTTCAAAGAATTGTTGTTCCCACACTCTGTTATACAGTCTGCCAAAAGCGCTGCTTGCCTTGGCCAGTCTGTTGTCGACCTCGCTGTCGATCTTCGCATCTGATGTGATAACACACCCCAGGTAGGTGAACTGGTGAACGCTTTTCAGCTCAGTCTCGCCGATGGTAATGTGAGGAGGGCGGTACTCTACCGAGGTGCAGGCTGATGGAGGACTTCCGTCTTTTTCAAGCTGACCTCGAGTCCGAAGAGCTGGGCAGCCTCCGCAAAACAGGACGTGAGGCGCTGCAGGGCTCTTTGGTATGGCAACAAGGGCAGCGTCGTCGGCAAAGAGGAGGTCTCGGATCATCTGCTCATGGGTCTTTGTATGGGCTTGCAGCCTCCTGAGGTTGAACAGGCTGCCGTCAAGGCGATAGTGAATGTAGACAGCATCGTCATCGCCAAGGTCTTCTGTGGCTTTCCTAAGCATCATGCTGAAGAAGATGCTGAACAGAGTCGGAGCCAAGGCACAACCCTGTTTTACGCCGTTGACGATGGGGAAGGGTTCTGAGAGGGTTCTGTTCAACCTGACTTGGCCGCTCTGGTCTTCATGCAGCTCGATGATCATATTAAGGAACTTTGGGGGGCAGCCGAGGCATTCCATAATGAGCCAAAGTCCCTTCCTGCTCACTGTGTCGAAGGCCTTCGTCATGTCCACAAACGTTACATAGAGTCCTTTGTTCTGTTCCCGGCACTTCTCTTGGAGTTGCCTGAGGACGAAGACCATGTCTGTGGTACCCCTGTTTGCTCTGAAGCCACACTGGTTTTCTGGGAGGTTGTCTTCTGCGATAGTAGGTATTAGCCTGTTCAGGAGCACACGAGCAAGGATTTTTCCTGCGATCAAAAGCAGTGTGATCCCCAGTAGTTGGGGCAGACTGACTTTCCCCATTGTTTTTGTACAAGGTAACGATCACTACATCACGGAGGTCTCTTGGAAGCTTTCCTTGTTTCCAACAACAGACGAGGAGCTCGTGGAGCTTTCTGTGTAACGCTGGGCCTCCATCTTTCCAGATCTCTGGTGGGATGCCATCAACTCCTGCTGCCTTGCCACTCTTAATCTTCTCTATGGCTACTGTGCATTCTTTCATAGAGGGTGGTTCGTCCAATTCCACTATAACCGGGAGCTGAGGGATGCGGAGGATTGCTGAGTCCTGAACGACTCGATCAGCGCTGAAGAGGGCGTGGAAGTACTCGGACCAGCGACTCAGTATAGACGCCCTGTCTGTGAGGAGGGCATCACCGTCAACACTGCGCAAAGGACTCTGGGCGTGGTGCGTAGGGCCGTAGACTGCCTTAAGGGCTTTGTAGAAGCTTCTGTAGTCACCAGCGTCTGCGCATTGTTGAGTTCGTTCTGCGAGGTTGATCCACCACTCGTTCTTAATCTCTCGACGTTTGCGCTGGAGGTTGCTGCAAGTGTAACGGAAGGCAGCTTTCCTCACGGGACAGGACGGCTGAGCCAGGTGAGCCTGGTGGGCTGATCTCTTCTTAGCCAGCAATTCCAGGATCTCCTTGTTGTGTTCGTCAAACCAGTCATTGTTCTTTTTAGTGGTGAACCCCAGGACTTCTTCTGATGTCTGCAGTATGGCTCTTTTCAAATGAAGCCAAAGTGAATCAGGTGAGGGATCTTCTGTGCAGCCGTCGTTTTCAAGCTTGAACTGCAAGCACGTCTGGAAGTCAGCTCTCACTACAGCTGATTGTAGCCTACTGAGCTTGAACATTTTCTTTGGGGGCCATCCCTTTCTTGATTTAGGTTTGAAGTGAAGTCTGAGTTTGCAGCGCACGAGGCGATGGTGAGTGGGACATTCTGCGATGGGCATCACTCTGGTGTGTAAGACGTCTTAGAGGTCTCGTTGGCGCACTAGAACGCAGTCAATACGGTGCCAGTGTTTGGACTGAGGATGCATCCAGGTTGTTTTCAGACTGTCCTTTTGTTGGAAGATGGTGTTTGTGACGACAAGTTGCTGCTCCATGCAAAACTCCAGCAGCAAGCGCCCGTTGTCGTTGCACATACCAACGCCATGTCTGCCAAGCACTCCTTTCCAGGCAACAGCGTCTTGTCCCACTCTGGCGTTGAAGTCGCCAAGGATTATCACCTTATCGTCTACGGAGGCGATTCGAAGAACTCTGCGGAGCTCTGAGTAGAACTTGTCTTTTTCTGCAGGCACAGCTTGAAGAGTTGGGGCATACACACTGAAGAGCGTGGCATACTTTTTGTTCTTCAGAGAGATGCGCATGGACATGATGCGGTCAGAATGACCAGTTGGCAGGTTTTCCAACTTGGAAGCTATGGAGGTTCTAACCATGAAGCCGACGCTTGCGAGACGCCTTTCTGTTGCAGGTTTTCCTGACCAGAAGAGGGTATATCGAGCGCCATACTCCTGAAGGCTGCCTTCTTCGGGGAAGCGAACTTCGCTGAGGGCAGCAATGTCGACATCTAGCCTGTACAGTTCATGTGCAATCAAAGCAGAGCGACGTTCAGGTCTGTTGCTGTCAGCTTTGTCAAGCATGGTTCTGATGTTCTAACATGCCAGTTTCAGTGCTTTTGCACCCATACCGGTGGGTGCATACCTTCCTTTCTTTGTTCTTGTTTGACCGCTAGTAAAGATGCCCGTTGACCACGGCAAGCCAACTGGGGGGATGAGAGACGAGCTTTGGTTAGGCCACCTTTTCTAGGCCCCTCTCCTTGTGGAGCAAGCAGTGCTGTCCCTAAAAAGGACTGCTTGGTCGTTCGGGGTGCTGCCGAGTGATTTTGTCATCTCGGATCAACATTAGGCGACCAATATCCCGAACCGCCTGCATGCAGGATTGAGACTGCGGCTTCCAGTGACATCTTTCACCTGCCGGTTTCGCCCCTTTCCTATCGCTACAGGACTTGGTAGAGTTGAATGCGTAGCAGACGTGAACGTATCCTTGGAGCCTGCACAGATGAGTTTTAAAGTGAAGTGCAGTGTGCACAGTACTGGCCCCACCCTTTACACCCGGTTTCATATGTCATGGCCTAGCGAGCTGGGACGGTGATAGCGAGATCCACGGTTCGTAGGTTTTACATCAGACTGTCCTTGTCCTAGGCTCTGGCTCAAAAACCTACCTTGGAGGCACGAGGACATGATGGCCGTTGAGCTCATCGTGAAGCCCTTCCGCCCTGGCCAGTGACCACAGAGGAGCTCGTTGCATTCTGCCGAAACTGAAGCCGATTTGACTATCAGAACCGCCAGTTTTAGCACTCTAGTAGTTTATCCGCCCAGCCGTGACCCTGGCAAGGGAGGCAAAGGGTGTACTAGCACTTGCCTAAGGTGTGCACCCAAGGCTAGTGGAGGGAAAAAGGCGCCTTACGGCTCTATTCTAGACCGGCTCCAAGCTAAGTCTAGCCACTACCCCTAGTTACATTGATGATGTAACTAACCGTAAACTTGCTTTTGAAGTGGGGTCGTTTCATTAAACTGGTCAAATTCATCAACTTTCCATTGACTAGAACTGAAAATGATTCAGCATTGGAAATATCAAGAAGAAAGCTAATGCAAGTTCTACAGGCAACGAGAATAAAATCTTAAAAGAAGGCGTACTTGATTT